TATTGTTTTTCCTTTTATGCCATTGTTTTGCAGCTCTAAGAGAGGACTGGTACTACATTGCTGGCAAAGCCACTGCAGTGAGCTTGGTACATGGCGGTCCACCACCAAACTTCCTCTCGCCAACAGTATTTTGTCTTCTGGTCAATGGTTCAGCAAATCCAAAACTAGAAGACATAGCTGACACAGAACTCTTGGAAAAAGTCAAAAAGGTCAGTTGATAGCTTTTGAATGTTATACTGCATTAGAATTAATTTACAATTATTTGCTCTTTGTTGTTCCATTCTTCTGAAAAGGAGTATCAACCCACGTTTTTCCATATGTTGTAGTTTAAATGCCACCACTATTCAACGGACAAGTGTCGACAGCAAAGCATATTTTCCTTCTTATTTATCACATTGTAGCAATGTGTGAAAAAAACCTGCACTGCCATGAACTGTTAGGGTACCTCTAGACATTCTGTAGTATGCAGACCACTAGTGTCTGGGTTCGTACTAATAAGTTAAAAGACTAATAAGAAACTTCCATAACAAGCCATCTTGCTGCTTCTTGTGATGCTAGGTATCTGAAAGTACAACCCTTGAGGACCTTGAGAAGTCAAATGCACCTTTGCTTGACTACTTGGCCAATGCAGGATGTCTGAGGCCTATGCGGTCGATAAGAGACAGGGATCTGCTGGTACAAGACATTGTCATGTTTCAGGTCATCCACAGGGTTCAAGGTCCATTTCAAAGGTATTCAGTGTTAGTAGTTGTACAGTCAGATCAATCTCAAAAGGAGTAATAATTTTAACCATTGAGCAACAAGGTGTAAGACTAGCTTCACAAAATCTATTATGTTTGTATAAAACCAAGGGACAATTTGACAGTGTACAATTGAATTATGGATTGTACAATTATTCCATGTTGTTTGTACAGATTCTGTGAAGGACTGAAAACTCTTGGGGTTCTGGACCAAATACGACGACATCCAGACAGCTTTCGACCCCTGTTCTGCTATGAGCCGAACACGCTGACTGCTGACCAGGTGGATGATCTTTTCAGCATTCGTCTCTCTCCAGAAGGGAGCAACAAGAGAGCTGCTGAGGAGATGGTCGTTACTTTCTGGAGGGACTATCTCCAAGATGCAGAAGGTAATTAATGGTTTAATTGTCAAATAAACTCATGCATCGTTTTTTTTTAGTATCATTCTTTTTATTTTATTCTCTTGGTAGTCGTAACATTATCAGAAAGCAACCTGCAAATGTTGAAAGATGAAAGACCTGTTATAAATTCATTGCTATAAGAGGCATTCAGATTTTAGACGCTTTGGTTTTGAGAAGTGAAATACTCTTACTGGACAATTTATTCAGTAGCCTTTAGAGATTGATTCACAATACACATTAATTGGACAGACTACCACTTGGATAATATTTTTGTTTTTTTTTTAACAGAAGAAGAAGGGCCATCCAAACTAGAGAAGATATTGGCCTTCACAACTGGAGCATCTGTGGTACCACCTATCGGCTTTTCCCCAACTCCTTCTGTCCAGTTCATTCACAAAGGAGATGATGGCTTCTCTACATCAATGTTCCCTCTTGCCAACACATGTGTTAACTGCATCAAGTTGCCACTACATGTGTCTTACCAACTGTTCAAGGAGAAGTTTGACTTTGCATTAGGAAACACATATGGGTTTGGCAGGGCATGAACATGTCATGCTCTGAAAACCTTTTCTGTCTGTGTCTCACTTTCTCTGTTTGTCTCTACCTTTCTGCTCTGTTTTCTGAAAAAAGTTTAAAACGAGACCGTTATTTTAATTTCTGAATGCCGTATGCGATATAACTGATGTATTTTATATAGTTTCACCACAATTCAGTTGACTCAGTCAGCCTATGTTTTAAAACATATTTACATTTATTTTTAACAGCATGTTTCATATTCTTACCAAACTTTCTTTTAACATATACTTGTTTAGACAGTTAA